GACTAGAATTATCTAACCATTTCTTGATGTTATAGAAAGGTAGCATATTCTTCTCAATTATTTTTAAGACCCTTAGTGTTGGTCCAGCCAGGGCTAAAACCCTCGACCTCCCGCACAACAGTCCAGACTCTATCCATTGACCTAACCAGGAGGCAGTTATGTTAAAGGCAGTTAATTTCTTTGTAGGGTTATTTTAACTGGAAAGAAGACTCAAACTTTGGTCGTCAGAGGCTTCAGGGGTGCAACCCAACCCTCATCAGACTTTGCACAGAAATCCCTGAAAAGTAAGACATTTTATGAGTGGACATGACTTTTGTAAATGGTTAGTTAGTTGTTATTCTTTAGTTTTTCACTGAAAGGTTATCTCTGCCTCTGGAATGTAAAGGTAGTACATGACTACTTTAAAACACTGGTTTAACTCACTTGTTTTATAGTCACGGCCCAACTATCAATTAATACTTTAAGCAAAAACTGGAATACAATAAATCCCTGGTCAAGAGGAAAAACTCTCTGCAGGCCATCTGACAGGATGCAGTGGTGCAGATCCACGTAATTTGCCTACTTCCGCATCCTTGGGGCATTTTTCCGCATAAAACTAAAAAATTTCTACATATAAGTGAGAAAGCAACAGCTTACCATCCTCAGAAGCAAAAATAGAAAAAAGATTGATGATTTTGAAGAAGTTATTCACCCAAAACAGCGGCAAAAACACGCTTTTTGCTTGTAAACAATTTTAAACCGCCATGTGTTCCATGCATCTTCTGGTAATGGGCCTGGGTTCTACTTTTGTTTTAATACTGATTTCCGGTGTCCAGTTTTCCTCATTCGATTTAATGGCTGGTTACTAAGCTTCAGACAACTTGACAACAAAAACTATGAAAAAACTGCATTGAACCAAGACATACTTCATAAAGGACTAAAATTCTCGGTAAGATGTTAAGGTGTATTTTATACGTTGGAAAAAGCCAAGGGAACAACTTCCCAGTTAAGTTTTAGAAATTTCCTCATAATAGTCACTCTTTTCCGCATAATATTGCCGAAAATTTCCGCATAAATTTCCATTTTTTCCACACCCTATCAGATAGTCTGTCTCTGATAAGACTCCTGTCATTAATTTATCAAATAGCTCCCCATATATAGCTCACTTTTTCAAAATTATGATTCACTTATTTAATATTGACTTGTTAAATTAGAATCCATTTGGCAAAATGATAACAATGGTATCTTCCAGTTTCAAGGTCACAGCTGAGATGGTGGAACCATTTTTGGAAGGGACTACACTAGAAGAGGCAATAAAGAATAAAAAGATCTACATCGTGAACCTGAAAAAACTCACAGAGATCATGTGTAGATTTAACAGAGTGGTGAGTGACATGTACATAAAAACCATAGGAACTGAAAGACCCATCTCTCTTAATCCTAAGCAACAACAGTTTATTCACGCTGTAGTTAGTTTTCAATTCTTTATGGTCATTTTTCCCATGGCCTTCCTTTGAGTTGAGGAAGTTTGTGTACCTCATAACAAAGCACTACTTCAAGAAAAAAAAAACCAACAAATTAAAGAAAAGGAATACTACTGACTCTTTCTCTTGTAGTTTCAATATCACTCTACAAGATAAAAGTTTAAAAATGTCAGAGGCAACCAATTTCTCTAAAACTCAAGATAAAAGTTATTTAGCTGAACCTCATAATGAGAATCCTTGATTTAATGTATGAAGTGTGTTTAATTTTGTCCCTTAGATCTGCAAACCAATGGCTTTATTCTTTGTCAATGGCAGAAATGAGCTGATGCCCATTGCAATCCAGTTGTTCCAGAAGCCAGCTGACCACAATCCAGTGAGTCTGTATAGGTTTGTTTCTAGCCCCAGATACTGTAAAAAGGAAACAAAAAAGGAAAAGAAATAAGGGAAAAATGAAGTTGTCATTATTGGATGAAATTGTAACAGTTCTTATGAGCCTTGAGAGAGCTACTGAAATACAGGCATGGACATAGAAACAACTTTCCTGATAGGGCCATAGAACCCCTTTAAGCTGTATGTGTTAAGACTGACAAACTTAATACTTTGGTTGACATGGTTGTTGTTGTTGTTTGTTATTGGTAGGTTTTCTTGCCAAGTGATCCCAAGTATACCTGGATGCTTGCCAAGATGTACTACAACAATTCTGATGCAGCTTTTCATCAGTCCTGCACTCATCTTGGTGAGGAATATTTGTAATGAATTTACAAACTCATATTGAAAGATAGGAGAGATTTTGTGCCATCATCCTTTTAATTTCTTATTGATCCTCTGATGGGGAGGGCGCAGGCCTTGGGTGATGGCTATGATGCATCACCCAAATCAGTTCTTGGCCCTTATGTGAGCCTTACCAGAAGTCATGCTGGTCATGATTGTTAAGGAGGTACTTGTAGAATTTAACAGTTTAGCCACTGGAATAGTGGAGGACCTTACTCTGAATTTAAAGTAGAAATTAGTTGGAATTACAGTTGGGAGAAGTCTTATAGAATTCTAAGGTATTTGATTTTACCATGATGTTCATTCATAGGTTTCACCCATTTGGTAGCTGAAACAATATGTGTGGGAACTCATCGTCAGTTGTCACCATCGCATCCTGTTTTCAGGCTGCTTGCTCCTCATTTTCTTTATCTCCTGGCCATCAATTCGTGAGTACCTATCATATAATCATTTATTGTGAGATGTAGCCAGTGGAATTCTTACAATCTCCTTAGTAGATCAGGAGATGGGGGGGGGGGAGCTGTTCATGTTATCAGGACACTGTTCCTGTACACACATCATTTTTTTAATTTGGTAGTTGTTTGTCTATACTGTCATCAATCTATCATTTAATCCACCCTTTGTTTAGAGAGGGTAGCACACAATATTTAGTTTGTACAGTTACTAATGAGCCTGTGGCCCCCTTCATTTTCACAACTACTGTCGGCCACTTAAAAAAGTGGTTGTTAAAACTCTGCTTTAACTCTTACAGAGTGTTGGCTGCTAACTTTTCTACGCGTCCCTCAGAGTTTCTCTATAAAGCATTTTACTGGTCTTGAGATCTGGTTAACCAGATTTTCAACCTTGGATAGTGTCACTAGTTTATGAAATAAATCTGTTCAGGAAGGCCTATACTATTCCATTGTTATGTCAGCAATGGGAGACAGTAGTAGCAGCCTTGGAGGATGAAGACGTGATTTCTTCTCCCGTTCTTGGCAATGCTAGAGGAGAAGCTTTTAAGGAGGAGGATGATTTTAAGAAGTAATGTAGTTTACATATTCTGTGTTATGTCTAGTCTTGCTCTGGCCAAACTTGTGGCTCCAAATGGATGGATTGACAACACCATGACAACTGGATCAGGTGGATTGATGGAACTTGTCAGTCAGTGGTAAGTGAATATGCTCCTTATTTGTGTTCAAGTGCTTTGCGTGATACTTGATAGGCTCTGGAGTTATTTTCTTGCATTTATGCCACTTTTGTAATCTTTACATATGCCTTTAAACTTTTCTTTTTCCTTTTGAAATTTTACCAGTTGGCAAAACTGGAGAATGGATGTTGATGGATGGCTTCCCTCTGATCTTAAAGCCAGAGGGGTAAGTATTTTCAACACATTTCAAGTATTATCGGGTCAATTATTTGAATTTTATGTACCAATTTCAACATCAAATGTAACTTAATTAATCTGTATTAATCAAAGATACTCCCTTAATGGGATGTGAAGAATTTCATGCACAGTTGAGTGAGTGATGGTCTCGATGTGTTTTAAAGGTGGATGACAAGGAAGCCTTTCCCAACTACCCTTACAGAGATGATGCATTGCTCATTCATGAAGCCATTTATACTTATGTCAGGGAAGTCTTGGAAGCTTTTTATGGTGAGCTACTATGTCAAATGTTGTGTTGGAGCAATTTTTCAATTAAGTATCAAAAGTGGTGCGGGATTGCTTTGGGTTTACCTAACTCTGCTCCGTGATTGGTTCGCAAAACTTGCGTGATTCTCTCAGCCAATCAGATGTTATCCGGCACTTCAAGCAGATTTCTTGTTTTCACTTTGAGTTTTCATTGGCTAATAGCAATTTAAGCCATTGTTATGACTGGTCACTGTGCCAATATTGGTTTTGGTTTACCGGCATTCAGTGAATTTGTACTCAAAATGGAATCCCCTAACTCTCATTTTTTTAATATTTCAGACTCAGCAGAGAAACTGACGCACGATCATGAAATCCAGAACTGGGGACAAATGTTGGCCGACCCTGAAGAGGGTTTAGGAATTAAGGTAGTGTTAATTCTCCATAGATTCCTCAAGTTTTCAGGTTGTACTGTAACTGAATTGTAATTGAGCCACAGCTTGAGCATTGTAGAGCATTTTTTGTTTCATTAAAGAGTGACTGCATTTGTGTGTTTTACAGGGAGTGTTTGGAGATGGAAAATTTACAGATTTGGAAGACTTGATCAAAGCAGTGACCGCAATAATCTTCATCAGTAGCGTGGGGCATTCTGCGGCCAATTTCGCTCAGTATGATGAGTATGCTTTTCCACCAAACTACCCTGCATTCTTACGTGGAAAACCCCCAACAACCAAGGTAACTGGGCGGCTTCAATCTATCTCCATCCATCAGATGGTCGCTTTGATGATTATTGATCTTATTAGTATTTTATTATCCTTATTTTTTAAATTTTTTCCGAATTACTTACAACCGGCGACAAGTGGAAATTGTACTTATCGGTTGTTTACATGTTTTAGGAACCTTTGACAGAGAAGGATATCATCGACTCCCTTCCAGTCAAAGACATGACACTGGACATCATTATTGTAACCAAAATCCTCAGTGATCGCGGCACGAACGCTCTTGGTGACTTTGAAGTGCAGTACATGTACGACCCAAGGGGAACCAAGCCTGTTGAAAAGTGAGACATCTATTACCGTTAATAAACCTAGCTAATTTGACAACTAATTATTGTAATATGGTAGTTCATACTGTAAAAGTCTTGGAACTGCGTCAAATCTCTTGTGTACTGCTTCCAAACAAGATACAAATTTAAAGCAGGCGTTCTGTCACTCAGTGGGTCCAGTCGGTATTGTGTGTATCTGGTCTTAAAGATTACCGTGTGCATTGTAACCTAGCCTTGGATATTTTACACCCTCAGTGTGCTGACAAACTATTATTGAAGGATCATAGTAGCGAAAATTCAAAAGGATTCACTCTGATCAAGTTTCAATAATTCATTAACCTTTCAGGTTGAGGAAGCGTTTGTTGGAAGTGAGTGACATTATTGCGGAGAGAAATAAGAGCCGACCTTTCCCTTATCCATATCTGGATCCCAAGGAGGTTCCTAATGCCATCAGTATTTAGCGACTTGGTATCCGCAGAATCCCCTGAAAATTGCAAACGACTATAGTCAGGAAATACTTCTCTACCTGCCGCCTTTCGATCCCTCATGTTGGACTGATGAAGAATGGATAAAAAGCAAACAAAAAGATTTCTTAGCAAAGCATAGTCCAGACGTTTTCTTTCCAAATTTGGAAATGCCCATCGTATAAATAAGGAGCAATTTTCGGGAAGTTTTCGTAAAGATTTTTTTCATGCTCAGAACCCATCATAAATGATAAATCTTTCAGTTGATCTCTCAAACTGAATCTAAAATGGACGCTTAAGCATGAGTTAACCCAATCGTGTGTTGAAACATCAATCTCATCGAGGTTTTACCACATAAACAAGTTCTCAGATCATGAAGATTTAATCGATGTCAGTGGTACTTCATTCCAGACTTCAGACTTATAGGATATTTGATGGTATTTGAATTAAAAGGGATTGCTATCATGAAACTGATTATTTAACACAACCCAATTTTTTCATTCCTTAGTGCTTTAGTGGTTTAATTTTCCATTATAAGTGCTGATTTGTAAATTATGAAAATAGAAAAATCATGTACTCTTATCTGGTAACTACGTTTCGTTTAAACAGATTTATTTTTGCAATTAGAGAGAGAATCTCTTTGTTCAATGAAAAATTAGATTTAGCTTAAAACCTTCGCCTGTTATCTCATTTATTATTTTACTAAAGCGTGTGCACGCAAGTATGTCGTGTATGACTATTGTAAAGCGAGCGGCTACCCTTAACGCTATGTAATGAAGAGAGAAACAGATCATCACGAAAGTTATCACACTAGGCCATGTTAGATAAATACTGTAAGAACAAATAAAGTAGTCTTGTAAGCGAGAAGTTTTATCATTTATACTGGATGCGACATTTGGAAGATGGTGCCGATTCGGGAGGTCTGGGTTTGAGTCCTGGCCGGCCGGGTCACTGTGTTGTGTCCTCGGGCGAACGGGCAGTACTGTCTATCTAGTAGTCAGAGGTTTGACTTAGAATATGAGTCGCAGTTTACTTAAAATTTGAGGTTTGGCTTGGATCATTATTCAGTACCTCTGCAACGCTCTCTGCAAATTTAAGAGGAACAAGGAAGAGTATACAAACTTCATCGATTCTTCATTTTCCTATCACCATCACAGCTTACTTAAAAGTTTTCCGAATGATTCAGCTGGCAAAAGCAGCAAATTTAAAAAGGTGGTAACTCGGCCAGCCACCATCACAAAGAAATTCAGGAAATCGTGGTTATTTTTTACACAGGGTTCTTGCCTGTAAGTATAACGCTTGGAATGTCGACTTTCTGACGTTGTTCAGTCCTATCGTTGACCTTAAAGTTTTTCAAATAGTAACACTGTTTTTGTCTTCTCCCTGAACCCACTTTTGCGCTCGTGGAGAATGGTACGATTCTAGTTACGACGTTGCAGGTTAAGTCAAACGTCAGGTCATTAACTTTTCAGTTATTTTTTAGTGATAAAAGGAGAGCGCATCTAGACAGTCTCCTGGGCAAGGTAAGGGTAGATAGACAAGTAAAAACCAAAAGATGTTGTCAGAATCGGTGATAGGCGTGATTGAGGAGTCCAAGTCTGGTTTGTGAAATCTGATTGGACAGTTTTATGCCATGATGTTATCAGCTGAAAGATTTAAGTGCGGTTCCGATCCGTTGGTAGCATTAACTCCTTGTGTTCGGTTCTTTTGATGTGTTTACGTTGTTTCCGAGTCCTTTTTATGGTGGTGGTTGCTTATGAATCAGGTTACCTCAACCTGACGTAGTTTTACTTTCCATTTTATTAAGCTTGTTGAGATATAAAGAGGAGTTATCGAAGTTGAAGTCGCTTTTATCCTTTCCTCACCCAAATTTTCTACGATTGACCGTTCACTTACGGCCAACCTCGGTATATAACCGCCTTTTCCTTATTGAGACCTATTTTTTTAGTTCCGGCGGACGGTCCATTCATTAAACAACAAACAATTCTCCACAGCGACAACGGTAACCAAAATGACCGCCAGACAATAGTCAAGTTTCCTGAGTAGGAAAAAAATTGTCCAAGCTACAAACCGAGGAGCCAGGGAGACTTACCAGCTTCATTTTACTTTAGAGGGAAAGTGTTTAAATTTAAGATACTCTGAACTTCATAAAACTAGTTGAAAATGATGTAAAGCGGCGAACTGACTCGTTTGTTTTCCTATCATATTTCTTCGCAACATTTATTTTTTTCTTATTCGGATACATTAAGATTATATCACGTATTTATCAAGGCTTGCTGCAATTCTTCCCCCCTCTCTCGTCTTTACAACCACACCCAATACTTCGAAACACATGCACTTCTCTGGACATGGTTGTTCTCTCTCGTCTGTTAGAGCTGGCAATTCGGAACCAAAACCCATCCCTTTGACTGCCCACTTACTTCAAATCTTCCCTCCTGATGACTTCTCCACTGATTACTGAGCTTTTCATGGTGAATGTTATACCTTATCGTCTTTGGAAACCTTCAGTTGATAATAATAATAATAATGATGATGATAATATAACAATAATAATAATAATAAGAAAAATAATAATTATAATATTGATAACGGTTCATTGAAAGTGCTGCTACTAGGTGGTTCCTCTCTTTTTATTTCATCTGATAACTACAATACAACGACTTTACACTATTTACAATAAAATAAATGTTACAAGCATGTAATCATAAAATAACACATTCTGTACATGGTAAACAGAAAAAAGTTCGAAAAGCCATTCAAGATTATGTCTTACAAAAAAACGACTGTTGTTAATTGCTTCCTTAGCATGTACTGTTCCCACTTTTTGTGTTAAATTGCTTTGAGCGCGAATGCATGGAGGTCAAAATAGTGTTCACGTCAAGGTCATGGATTCGAATTCCACTATATTATACCGAATTCCACTATATTATGCCGAATTCCACCATATTATGCCGAATTCCACTATATTATGCCGAATTCCACTATATTATGCCCCCGTTCATCTCACTTGAAGACCTGAAAATTGCGCTCCACTCTCAGGTTGTCATTTGGGAAAATCAATTGATATACAAGTTATTTCTAATTGGGATTTTCAAAACCAAAAGGAACGTCTTCGTCTCAATATCCGAATAATCGAAATTGTAAACTGACCATTGTGGCTTAGATCTGCCGGCTGTCGTACTTTAAGGTGGAGCTGAGGTAGCCCACTCGGTAATCTTTCTTGTTTTCTTTGAAAACGTAGTTATCTTTTAGCTCACGCTTTAACAACTTATGTAGAATTCGAAGCACAGAAAAGACTGCCATGCAAGCTGACGATCCGGTTAATTTACGACTCTATGAGACGAAAAGATATTACCTTCATGTGAGCCTGAAGATGGCTTAGAATAAATTCGCCGGCTCCCAACGAGATTACGAAACACATTAAAAACCCGAAAAGGATCCAAAAACATCCCCCAAAACACTTTCAGAGTATAGTGCACTAAAAATGAGGCGGAAGATCCGAAAAATGATACTCTACTGTACTTTGTTCGAGCCTTTTAAGTTTAAACCCTTCGATCTAGAAGGGAAACCACCTGGAATAATTCATTTTATTTATCGATTTTTTACTTTCATTTTTTTCATTAACGGCGCTCCGTTCGTATACCGTAGAATCCTGATTTTTGTAATCCTCGATTCATGTTCGAAACTTTCTTTACATACTATATGGTTCCAACCAAAACTAATTCCCTATCTTTACTGAACCAAACCCAACTACGCTATCCCACCCAACCCACGAGTTTTCGAACCTTGTCGAACAAATTTTTCCTCTCCAGAATATTTGAAAATTCGATAATTGCGTTTTGTGTGAATGTTTGTTTTCAGGACACATTTTATCAAACTGAATAAAGGAGTAAAAGAAAGAAAGCTAACAGGAGAAATCACTCCTTTTTTAATCCACTAAGCGATTAAAGATGGCAATAATAGAATGTCTAGTTATTTCGTTGACACCGTTTTCTCTCTCTATCTTATTGCTGCCGTCCTTTGTTTTCGGACAGTTAGTTGAAAAAGTGCAGTGTGTTTACGATCAAACCACCAAAGAAAAATTCACTTTTAGAGTTATTTTTGATGTTACCGGCTGTCAAAAATACCAGGGTGATTTAGTCTGGCCATTTTCACTTATTTTAGCGATTTATCTGACATCGTAATTCGAAGGTTTTCTTTCCCTCCATTTGATCAGAATGCTAAAAGACATTTTCGAAAATTAAAGAACTGACATTATTAAGGCAGTAATTATCTATCTGTGATAATTCTATGGTTTGTTTGTGTAATAACGCATTCTTTACTTAATTACTAAAACAGCTGTCCTTTGGTTTTTTGTATGAATTAGACAAAACAAACTTCACCTCAATCACTTTCTCGCCGGTCCAGCCTGGGGACTCTTCAGTGTGGCAGGTTGGTTTTATCAGACGGCTTCATCACACTCCATCTAGCAACCTTCTAAATGGTGTAATACATATCTTATTTTCGTATGCAGTGTCAGTGTTAAATCCTGACTACTCAACTTGAGGAGCTTAAAGATAGCATCTAGCTTGAATTCCATACATGTAGATTAAATAAAGTCTGTGTATTTTAGATACTAAAGTGTTTTCCAAATGCACTCGATTGCCGAGAAACGCAATAGAAGGGCAGGCAATGAACTCTTTATTACATCCCATTGTACGATAAGATGTTATGTACGCATGCCTTCGAGTGCGTTAATTTTTCTGAAGAGTTTGTAACGAGACCATGAATTGCTCGTGAAGTGCAGTGTAATTCTACTCCTGACCACTGAACGCCGGCAATCGAAAAAGTACCCACATATCAGCGGCGGTCAGGTCCATTCTGTCATCACAGCCTATTGAACACAGTCTGGTACCTCAGTTTGTCAGGTTTATCAATACACATTCACTGGAAAGTTCCCTTTTTAATATTCACAAAACCACTACATTGTATCCTTACTCAACATGTAGACTTTTGCAGGGGGCATTTGTTCTTGACCCGGTAATCGATACAGATATATCTATCAGCTATTTGAAGGCTCACAAAATTTTTCGGCAAACTTCAAGCACTGACTCCCGCTGTTGACAAAGAGTCTATTTCCGGAAACGAAGTGCACACCTCGAAGTTAAATTTTAAAAACGAACTCAGAGCAATGAAAGTATTTCAGCAAAAGGTCTTTTTAGAGAGGAACAATTTTCACTTAAGGAACTTATATGTTCTTTAAAATGAAAGCCCTCTGCCGAAGCCTTGTTTTGAACCTAGTAAAGTGTTTGTAAAAGCCAGTTCCGTACTCTCTTTGAACCATTTTCATCACCCAAGGCCGGCTCGTTTTAAGTCCACTGTTTCTCACCTTGTCGGGCCGAAGCTGTTTGTAAATATCACATTTATTGCCAATTACTGTAGATAAGGCAAACTATTAATTAAATTTGAAGTATCCATTGACACATGGTGCTGTAATCTTATTGGCAGGGCTCAACAGCTGAGTGAACGTAATTAGACAAGTTGACGGCCCGCTACAGAAAGCTGATAGGGCGTGTTTATTTTAGCCCATACCTACATAACTGTCTCTGGACGATAGCGTTGCGTTAGTTTATCAAGTTGACTGACGGTGGGCTGAGTTCTAACTTGAACTCGGGTCGCTTTCACAGACATCGTTGCCCTCTGGTTAAGCTTGTCCAGCTTAAGTTAATAGAACAGTTAACAGCTCCTTGGTGTAATCTCCGACCATGGGGCTCCCACATTATGAGAAGTCTCTCGCCATGACTCAATCAAGTAGAAAGTACAGAACATCAAGTAGTTCGAAATCGAAACGTAAGAATGCTCATCCACATATGCAGGATCATAACCAC